CGTTGTGATTTATTTTTGTTCAAAGGAAATTTATAGAAGAGGAGGATGAAAGAAAAGGAGAAAGCATAAAAGGAAATTTAGAAAATTGAAGTCCGCCTTCTCCACGGTTTTTAAGTCGTGGTTTCTCGTGGAGCTAAGGGTAAATATCAAGGCGGGGACTTGGAGAGTCCTTAGGATGATGGGTCCACTATATGTTTCCCCCCCTTTGTTCGAAGATAAAGAAAAAGGCAATGGTTTGCAGTGTTTTGGAGAAATTCAGACAACAAAGAAAATCGTTGGAATTTCAAGAAATCCAAAAGAAATTTTAGTCAAGAAATTCAAGTATCGGCGTCCGGTAACCTGCAGCAGCAGCTCAGGGTAGGACATGAAGCCGTTAGGATTTCGCCCATTAAACTATACCCCCTTAAGTGTCGGGACGACACTTTTGAAGAAAGGGGAAAGTGTTGCGCTCGCGCCGCGGGAAATCGTCGATTGTGACGTGTAGGCTGCGAATTGGCATTGAGAAGCGTCGCTTAGTAATTTGTGAATAAGTTGAGAAGCGTCGCTTGGTAATTTGTAAATAAAGTGTCAAGTGACAGTTACGCTTGGTCCTCGGTGCCGTGAGGACGCGTTTCGAATGTGAGATGGTTTTCTTAATTGTAAACGATAGTTTTGTTGTTACGGTTCAAATTGTGTTATCGTTGAGTTCATTAAAGTTTGTTATACTCAAATTGAGTTTATTATTTCTTGCGTGAGCGCATTCGCGAGTGATTGTCGCGAGTGCAACAATATTAAATAAATAAATAATAATACAACCAAAAGAAAAACCAATAAATTTTAATTAGACATATTTTACGTATGTGACAAAAGTAGAAAATTGAATTATACAGCGGAAATGATACTACATTCGTAAGTTTAAAGTCCTCCAAACTTGACGTAATGGCTAATTACGTCAACTGCTTATAAAAACTGTGCTTTAGCGCTTCATCATCCAGTCTTCAAACAATATTCAATATTACAGTGACATAGCGCATTTTCAAATTCAAGTATCATAAAAAGATACCGCAACAAGTAAAACCAAATAAAATAAGATAAGTATATTTGTATCTATTTTTCTGCATTTGTATATCCAATAAAACAATTAGAATTATGGGTACCGAAAAAACATATCAATCGTATATTAATACCGAATCCAGTGACGAAATTGTTATTTCTGGTATCGCTGGTAGATTCCCAGGCTCAGACAATATGAAACAATTACAAGAAAATTTATTCAACAAAATTGATCTTGTTAAAACAAATCGTCTTCGATGGAATATAGGTAATTAATTTATAAATTATAGCTTTATATTTAACTTGTGAGATTAACAGTCTTTCCCTTGTTATTAATTACAGTACCTAATTATATTAGGAGTACAAATTAGTTCGGTCCGTTTTCCAAAAGATACTCTGGCTGTTGTGAATGGTTCATAGTGACAGCTGATTTTGGCGGTTTCAGAGAGGTTAGACATCTGCTAATAATATTCAGTTTATATCGCTTTGAGTTTCATACAAAAACCTTGATTTTTACTGTGTTCGAAATGTCGAATTTTGTGCTAACCAAGCAGCATTTGCGGGAGGTTTTAATTTTCTGCTTTAATTGGAAGAAAAGTGCAGCTGAAGCCCATCGAATGCTTGTCGAAGTTTATGGTAACACTGCTGCAACTGATAAATCATGTAGGGAATGGTTTCGACATTTCAAGGATGGAGATTTCAGCGTTGAAGACAAGCCTCGCTCTGGACAGCCAAAAAAATTCGAAGACAAAGAATTAGAGGCACTACTCGAAGAAGATCAGAGTCAAACGCAAGAGGAGCTTGCAGGATTATTGGGAGTAACTCAACAAGCCGTTTCTGTACGATTGAGAGCCATGGGAATGATACAAAAACTAGGAAATTGGGTGCCTTATGAACTCAAACCGAGAGACGTTGAAAGGCGATTTTTCACTTGCGAGCTGCTGATTCAAAGGCAACAAAGAAAAGGTTTTTTGCATCGGATTGTGACTGGAGATGAAAAGTGGATATTCTACGACAATCCCAAGAGGAAAAAATACTACGCTAAGCCCGGTCAATCGTTGCCATCGACCTCAACATCAACACCAAAGCCGAACATTCATGGTTCGAAGATCATGCTCTGTATCTGGTGGGACCAAAAGGGTGTTGTTTACTATGAGCTGCTGAAACCTGGCGATTCCATTACGGGCGATCGGTATCGGCTTCAATTGGTTCGTTTGAGCAGTGAATTGTGAGAAAAACGGCCGGAATACGAGCAAAGACATGATAAAGTTATTCTTCTTCATGACAACGCTCGGCCTCATGTCACAAAAGTCGTAAAAAAAATATTTGGAAACGCTCAAATGGGATATTTTACCGCACCCGCCGTATTCTCTGGACATTGCTCCTTCTGATTACTGGTTGTTCCGAAAGATACAGCACGATTTGGCAGGTCACCGGTTCACTTCTTTCGCAGAAATCGAAAATTGATTCCAAACTTGAATCGCCTCCAAAGACGAGTCATTTTTTCGAGATGGAATTCGAAAATTGGTTGAGAGATGGGAAAAAGTAGTAGCCAGCGATGGACAATACTTTAATTAATCTGTTCATTTATTTTGTTTTGAAATAAATGCATTTTTGAACACAAAAAAACGGACCGAACTAATTTGTACTCCTAATACATTTGAAAAATATACTTTAAACTATAATTTTACAAAAATAAATATGCAGAATACAATATACATAGCTACAATTTGCAAAATTACATCATTTCTTAGAGCATTTGGACATACCAATTCGCATGGGGATAATTAATAATGTGGAGAAGTTTGATGCCGATTTTTTTGATATATCTTTTAAGCAAGTAAATGTATTAGATCCTATGACAAGAATGTTATTGGAACATACTTACGAAGCAATTATCGATGCAGGAATCAATCCAAAAGAATTACGAGGAAAAAATACTGCTGTGGTCGTAGGAACATGTATGATCGAATCACAAGAAAAATTTTTATACGAGAATTTGCCGGTAAAACAAATCATTGATTCATGAATATCTTAAAAAGAAATGATCGAGTTAAATTATAAAAATCATTATCTACATACACAAATTTATTACTTTTCTTTGGTAATTAGATAAGTGACGGAAATATCATAGACTGTGCTAAATCTACATTAGCAAACTTATTATCATATTCATTCGATCTTAGAGGTCCGTCGCAAACGATCGATACTGGTTGTAGCACTAGTCTTTATGCCATGGCTGTTGCTAAAGATTATATTACATCGGGTCAATGTAATGACGCAATTGTTGCAAGTGCACATTTATCTCTACATCCAACTGTAAATTTCCAATTCTTTCGCATTGGTAAGTTTACTAAAATTACCTAACGTACCCTATCTCATAAAGAATGACTTGTTTTATTTTTTATATATTGGAATCTTTGAAATATCTTGAAAAAATTGCAGTTTTTTAAAAAAGTGTTGCAAAGACAGTTATTTGACTTGTACGACACTGACAACGTAATCTCCTAAATGCCAAAGGTATCATTAAGTTCAAAATTTGTAATTCTAAAAAAAGTAAATAAGGAAATGTTTTATGATAATATTTTAAAACCTTCTTGACACCAGTTTTAGAAATATGCAATAAAAAATATCAATTTCTGTTTTGAAAACTTCAGCTAATTTTGATATAATTTCAATATAATTTTGCAAAGATCAAGCAAAATCAAACGTCAGCATCGTACATACCTCTTGAAACAGTGACTTTTATTTTAAAAATTTTTTCAAAAAACTTAAATCTTTCAAGATTTAAACACTGAAACTAAAATGGGACACTTTGTATGTGTAAATATATAAATAAACACTGTATATAATTTTAGGTATTTTATCACGTGATGGATGCTGTAGACCTTTTGATAATGCTGCAAGCGGTTATACGCGTGCCGAAACAGTGTCGGTGGTATACCTTCAAAAAGCTAAAAATGCAAAACGAATTTATGCTATTTGCAAGCATGTTAAACTAAATAATGATGGTTACAAAGAAGAAGGAATAACATATCCATCGACGCACATGCAAAGCGCTTTATTAACGGAGCTTTACAATGAGTGCAAAGTACCACCACCCTACTTGGATTACATTGAAGCACATGGTACTGCTACTACAGCTGGCGATGCTCAAGAGATCAATGCTATTCATAATGTTCTGTGTCAAAATAGAAAAACACCATTGATGGTGGGCTCTGTAAAATCCAACCTTGGTCACTCTGAACCCGCCAGCGGTTTGACACAAATCGCTAAAGTAAAACAATTTATTCAACAAATTATATTATTATGATAAAAAAACAAGTACAAATTAAGACATTTAAAATATATAAATTATCAATTATTTTGATATTCTTTTATGCAATTTTATTCTTATATTTTTTACGTAATATTTTATAGATTAAAAGAAATATTTCAAACAATAACTACTAATTTTGTTAAAAAAGATCATTAAACAGTAGCAACTTTTTTTAAATGTGATAATTACTCATTTTTTCAATAAAATAATAACTATAAATTTTTTATTTATTCAAGAAAAATTATGTTTTGAATACAAACGAACACAAAAATTCTTCTTATGCTGAAGCGTTTTAGCATAGCAAATATTACATTTTGTGTTATTAATTTTATACTTGTTTAACAGCAAAGAAAATAAATCAAGTACTATAAGTGTTTCAAATTTACATACAAAAATTTATTAATTTTTAAAGGTGATAATAGCATTTGAAACCGGTTTTGTACCACCAAACATTAATTTTACATCACCGCGGAACGATATAGACGCTTTAAGGGATGGAACCATCTGTGTTGTCACAGAAGCATTGCCGCTTAAAAATGGTTATATAGCCGTGAATAATTTCGGAATCGGTGGAGCCAATGCTCACATCTTATTACAATGGAATGCCAAAAAAAAGATTAATAATGGAGCACCTAATAATGATTTGCCAAGACTTGTGGTATTGTCTGGACGCACTGAAGAAACCGTGAAATTGTTTCTAAATGATGTAAGTAATTTTTTCAGCGACAGCACTAACATCATTTTTAACAGCAAGGAACATTATATTACGTATACTACATATACTTTTAAAACATTTACTTTGTAGATTGCTAATCATCCAATAGATGTAGAATATATTCGTTTACTACACGACATTCACACAGACGACATAGATGGTCATTCATGGAGAGGATACATTATACTGGATGCACAAAAAAATTCCATAAAAAAAGTTCAAAATTGTAAAATATAAAAGACCTATTTGCTTTGTATTCTCTGCCTTAGAATCGAAATTGCCAGAAATGGGTATGTATCTAACATTCAACATTTTTTATATGTACAAACTGATTAATAAAATAATACAGCAATTTTCAAACTAACTTTATCAGGTAAAGAGCTATTAAAATTTCACGCATTTGCGAATGCCGTAAAAATGTGCGATGCTATTTTAAAACCGTATGATATAAGTATTACGAACATTTTGACGAAGATTGATAAAAGATTAAACGAAAGCGCTTTACACAACTTTGTTGGTATCATCGCCTTCCAGGTATTACATTTCCAAGTAAAAAATTGGTATATTGTACATATTAATAATTAAAATATGAATTTTTCTATCTAATTATGCCATATTTGTCTTATTATATAATTTGTTACGTACAAATAGTATTTGTCGTTTAATATAAATTTAGTAATAAGTTAATAATTTATTTCGTAGATTGGTTTAGTAGATCTCCTAACATGCTTAAATATTATTCCGGATTATATGATTGGGCATTTTGCTGGTGAACTCGCTTGTGCTTATGCGGATGGGTGTCTAACTATGGAACAAACAATTCTATCAGCGTACTTTATTGGAATAGCATGTACTAAAGGCAAATCTGTTCATAGTTCTATGATAACTGTTAATCTTGGTTACAATGCTCTTAAAAGCACATGTCCGACGGATATAGAAATAATATGCCGTAACAGTCGAAACAGTAATATTGTAAATGGCCCCGTAAAATCCATAGAAAAATTTATACAAAAATTACAGGTACGTTGATCTTTTGTTTACATATGAATAATCAATTTCCTGCTTTTTTTCATACACAATTAAACGCTTATCACACTTTTTTTTTTATATTCCTAAAAACAGAAAATTTTTAGTTTTTTGCATTGATCGCATTCGCTAATGCATTTTTTATTCTTTTTAATCAGGATAATAATATTGACGTGAAAGAAATCTCTTGTAATAACATATCGTACCATAGTCGTTACCTCGCATTTGTGAAAACGCAACTATTATTTCATTTAAACCAAATAATACCACAACCAAAAGAACGGAGTTCAAAATGGATCAGCACTTCTGTACCTCGCTATAAATGGTCCAATGTAGCGTCAAAATTATGCTCAGCAAGCTACCATACCAGTAGTATATTAAATACTGTTCTTTTTGAACAAACAACGCATATGATCCCAGATAATGCCGTGATTATCGAAATTTCACCAGTTAGCATTTTGCAGGACATTTTGAAAGAATCGGTACATGCAAAATACATAACGAATATTGTATTGACTAAGCAAAATGAACCAAATGCTATAAATTTAGTACTGCGAGGGATTGGAGAACTCTACAACTGTGGCTTCCAACCGCGGATCGCCAATTTGTATCCGCCGGTGAATTTTCCGGTTAGCCGAGGCACTCCTATGATCTCCCCATCTATAAGGTACAA